GAACTGATTTGTGCTTCAGTCACTCCATGCCAGATTATCTTATATAGGAGGCAGACCTGTGGATTTTTTTTTCCCTATTGAAAAATAAAAAGAGCCTCATCACCTCAGACCAAAGAGATTATGAATACCCATCAAGAATATCCTTTGGGTTAGACCCATTCAATATGTACACATGTGTATATTCCAACCAAGTACTCAGACTCAAAGTATTCTTGTATCATTAACACCTTAACCTATGTTTATTTAGCTCCATCTATTGACAATGGACCTCCTTGGGCAGCCTATTTACTTACAATTAGGTTTGTTATTTAAAGCAATATGGGCATTTTACTTACATGATTGCATGTATCAATTACAAAACCTTTCTTTCCAAACTAATGTAAAATTTGTTAATTTAACTGATTATCTTACAGTTAGGGTTTAGGTAAGGTCTGTCATCTATCAGCTGGGAAGGGCAGGCAGGTGTTCAGTGAACTCATTACACGGCATTCTTGGCTTCCCCTCCCAGACTAGAGGGCCCTTAACATGATATCTCCATCAGCAAGCAGAAAGCTAATCAGTCTTAAACCCAGGTGACTGGGGGACTATAACTAAGACATAACATGATCTGCTTAGTTATTATGACTCTCGTCTGGTCTTTTTATGTGGTCAGGCCTCTAAAGATTCCCTGTTATTTAAATTTTAGTGTTTTTAGAATGCCAAGAAAATGATATAATTACTACTCAATTACCTACTTTTAAGGCACATTCCAGGAAATCTCTCTTTCTTCCTAAAAGCGAGTAAAGTCTGCTGTGCCTGTAAACCTAGCAACAAGAACCAGCTGCTTTGTTTCTAGTCCCGCCCAAGGGGGGCTGCTAGGCAAAAAAGCCCCTCAAGGAAGGGCATGATGTCAGGCTTCCCTCTCTTCCTTTGCTCCCATACCTCTTTCATAAAGCTTGTGATGGACTGCATGGGGAAGAGGTGGTTTGCAGAAGGGTGCAAAGTGTAGAGACAGTGGTAACAAAACCCCTCTTGGCTGTCAACCTCCAAATCTCCCAGGCCTCACCTCTTGTTGTCCTTCCCTCCTCCACTCCTTGGTGCCCTGTCTATGGTACTTTCTCTGGGTCTCCAGTCTGCTTGCTTTCCACCTCTGCACACATGTCCCGTTCTCAGACCACCTGCTCTGAAATTGAACTGTTGCCCTCCTTTCTGTTTCCTCCTCCTGAATTTAGCATCCAATAAACATGATTGTTTCTTTCTTGTGTCTCTGCCCTGAATGTCAGCTCCAAGAACATGCCAGTGCTCAGCTTGTTTACTCAATGCTGTGTCCTGAGCATCTACCACCATATTTGATACACAGAAAAAAGCCAAGTGTCTTTTGAATGAATGAAAGAAAATGAAGGGATAGGAAGGTGATCAGAGATCATGCTCCAGCCACCCTCCCCAAGGTACCACAGGGTACTTACTCATGCCAGCACAATAGCAGGACTGGGCTCTGCTGACTGTGGGGCCCAAGCACTCCCTCTGCCAGGAAAGCTAGCTCTGCTTGTCTGTCTACCCACGTGGCAAGCTCTCAGGAAGACTAAAAAAATCTTATCGGTAGCACACTGTGTACCATATGAGGAATAAAGAGCATCAACCATTGAGATATTAGCCTGAGAAGTCACCAACTGTAAAGAAATCATATTTTCAAAGCTTATGTGACAGGGGAGGTGAGTTTCCAGGTTCCCAGCTCTACCACCACTGTGCTGGGCAGAATGAATCTCAGGTCTGTAACACTTGCTCTGTGGGTGTGGATTCCCAAATCCCTGGGTGGCTACAGATACAGTGACCAGGAAAGCAAGTCAGTCATCATGAGCGATAGAAGCTGTGGGTCAAATGCTACTGACTAATCAGCCCATTGCTGGTCAATTGCCATCCCCAAGAGAAGGTGCCACTGACCTAGCTTCGCGTCAATAAATGTCTATCTGGGCACATCACCTGCTGTAGCTGCAGCCTGCCCAGACACCCAGGGCTGTTCACGGGCACTGGTGGCCAGGAAAGCTCCCTCCCTCCCTCTTAATAATGTCACAGAAGAGGCAAATGCAGTTCTGACAACATAATGTTAGCTTCACCAAGACGTGTCTCTTTGAATGCCTGGCTAGTTATGCAGTGCGCCAGCTGAATGGATTTTCTTACTGAAGAAACAATAGTGGGCTTCAGGAAGCTAGAGGCACCACACTGTGAAGAGAAATACAATTCTGCCTCAGGTTGTGTGCCTGCTCATCGTCTCTCCTCTGAGTCAGGAAAAAAGAAATTGTTCGAAGGAACCATTTTCATTCCACACTTAGATAAAACCAAGTGGGCCCATTCTATCTGCCCAGGACCCCAGCAACACACTTTTCTCAGACAGAGTAGGAATTCAAGTCTTTGGTAGAGCTTGAGGCCAAGGTGGTCTAGACCCAGGATAAGCCCTTGTTTGTTTGAGCCATCATTCTGGCAACCATCTCATCGGGCCTCTGCTGGATTTAAAACAGTAAATTTCCTCTTAAACCTGTTGTAAATCTCAGTCTGTTCACAAAGACTATGTCAGGAGCACATTCAATCTGGCATGCAAAACTGATTTTGAGTTATCTCAGGCCTCGAGTAGCAAGCAAGGCTGGGAGGAGTCAACAAGTCAACAACTGGCGCCAACGACAGGAGTTCTACACCCAGGGCAGGTGCCCGATGAAGGAACTGCCTGGTTCCTGTCAAGTTTATACAAACCTAGACATAACTGGGGAGAGGAAATCTTAATCAAGAAAATGTCTCCAAAAGACTGGCCTTTGGGATGTTTTCTTAATTACTGATTGATGTGGGAGGGCCCAGATATGCAGGACCACACTTGGGCAGACTGAGTAAGGAGGAGGAGCAAGCCAGTAAGCAGCATGCTTCCAAGGCCTCTTTTATAGTTCTGCCTCCAGGTTCCTGCCTTGATTTTCTGTCTACACTGCCCTCAGTCATAGGGTGTGCTCCAAGAGTTTTAAGCTGAAATAAACCCTTTAACTTACAAGTTGCTTTGAATCATGGCTTTTATCACACCAAAAGAACCCTAATTAAGACAGAGGCTGTTTCAGTACGCTCAGACAGAGATGAATGCAGGAACACTGAAGAGACAGCAAGAGGGAATACGACCCAAGACTCAAAAGCATGGCGTAAAGGAGCACAGAACCTACAGACAGACTGATACAGCAGCCTGGGTGGCCTGAAGACACAAGAGACCAGGCTGTAACAGGGGTCACTTATACCGGTTTCCTCTGAACTAACCACCCCGCTTTGGGCAAAAGGGAGTCAGGAATGCTGTGGCGGGGAAGACAGGGTCAAATGTAGATCATGTAGAGAAGTGACACCACAGGGTTTCACTCGATTACACGGTGGACAGCAGAGAAGGAAGAACTCTGGGAGTTTAGGAGGCAGCACAGAACCTCAGGACTGACTTCTGGGCAGAGGGGGGATAAAAGAGGGGAACAAATTTAGGAAGGCCTTGTGGTTTTGGCTTGGTCCAAAGATGTCTGGAGCCACCAAGCCAATGTGGAATACTGACACTGAGGTACGGTGACCGGGATGGGAAGGGGAAGGACAACAGAATTTTGCTGTAGCTGTCTTGGTGTGAGACAGGCATGGACACAGATGGTGTGGTGGAGGGCAGAGTACCCAGTACAAGGTGAATGAATGGAAGTCAAAAGCCATTAAAGGAGACTGGACAGAGGTACGAAGTTGCCCGTTTGCTTCAATCTTCATTGGAAAGAAGACTGGCCCTCAAATTAGAAACGGCAGAACAAACATAATAAAGAGAAAATTGAAGTCCCAAATAGGTGAAGTGAAAGAGAGTGTCTAGTCAATTTAAATGATTTCAAGTCTTCTGGCTCAGATGAGTTACACCCCAAGCCCGCTGCAAGAAATTGCAGATGTAATCTCAGAGACACGATTGGTAATCTTGAAGAAATTGTAGGGGAGTCAGTGCCAGAAGACAAAAGAAAGACAACTGTTAGCACATTTTCAAGGAGGGACCGACTACAAAGGGAAACACAGACACAGTTTATATCATCCATGACAAGAGTCCTAAGAATGCTTACTAGGTAGACTGTGGGGACACAGTACTGCATGCACACAGTTCAGAAGGGTATGGCTGGTGAGTTAATCTGGCCTGAGTGCTCAGCCTCAAGTATGAAGCATCTCCTGTGCTACTTGGGTAGGAGGTGGCTCTGGGTGAAATGGGGTTAACTGAAATGAAGAAAGCCAACAGTCTTAATCCAAGACCTCCAGCACTGGCTCTTCAGCACCCGTGGGAACCACAGAGCAGCATGAAGCCATGGTGGTTGTCCTGAGCACAAGCAGGCCTAGGGCAATCCCAACCTGCCAACACCTCCACCCTCAGCAGACTGGGGTAGACAGACATTCATTTTTTCCTATAGGAGCCCTTCAAAGGAGATGCTGGGGGAGAGTGGAAGAAGCGGGGAAGGAGAGGGTGGGGAAAGCAGACAAATGAAAAGAAATAGTACCGGCCCTTAAGAAATAACTTTCTGGGGGATGTTACCAGTCTCATGCTTAAAAACTAATAACATCCTGTAAGCCAAGCAAAATTAAAGTTCCTTTCTTAAAACAAAATGGATCAAGAACAGACTCAAACACATGTCCACTAAAAGGATTGTTAGAACTAGGCTTCTTATCTGGGTCTCTGGTTCATATACAAAGGTGTTTATGGAAGGTGAAAACGGCTTTTTACCCACGTCATCCCTCCACATCACCCCACTAGTCTCTAACCCACACATGGCAAGGCTGCGGGAGTGAGATCCTCAGAGGGAGGCTTCCCATCCAAATCCTTCCCTCTCAGCTGATTTGACGTCCACTTTCAGCACTGCTCCCTACTAAACAATCCAAACAGACAGCTGGTGTCTCCCTGCCTGCCTCCCATCTTTATAATAGGAGAATTTCTTCTCTGAAGAGATTGGTGACTATGTGTATCTGCACTTTTTGAACTAACAAATGCAAAGAAATCTTACCGTATTGACCCAATCATGTATGGCTGTGCCAGCTGAACCACAATTGCACCACTTCCCAGCTGGTGACACGTGTAGCCAGAATCCCAGTCATAATTCTTAGTGTCCCCATTCAGCAAGGCATTTCGGCTGCGACTGACTCCTTCAATCACGCTGGCACAATCGGCAATCGTTGCAACATTCTCCATGGGAACTGTGAATCCAAAGCACAAGATTCAGCATCAGGATAAGAGAAGCCAACTACATCCCTATAGCATGCTTAGAACAAAACTAATTAATTAGCATCTCAAATCAACAATAAAAAGGAAACTAGAAACATCCCGATTATCTTCAGATAAGAGTTTCCATGCCAAATAATTAAACAAACAACTGAACCTTCGGGTTGGAATATCCAAACCATATGTAGCAATTAATTCTTAAGTATTTCATTATAAAAGCATAATAACAGAATGTAGAAATATAAGATACATCTCAATGGGAAACTTTTCATCAGTCTGGATGGATTTTTAATGTGTTCCTGGTAGTTAAATCCAGGGTCTTGCACATTCTAAGCAGGTACTGAGCTGTGCCCTGGCCAGTAACTCGGTCTAATTAGCTATAGCTACATACATGTTGAGTAGAAAACTTATACATTCTGCAGCTCAAAATCTGCAGCGCAGGAAATGGGCTGCAGACACAGTATCACAATACATAGCTGGTTTTACCCCAACCCACCCACTGTGCTTGCTGTTCAGTGTGTGGCTAGACAGGGGCCCTCCTTTGCTCAGGAGCTGCCAGATCTTAAAAAAAAAAAAAAAAAAAAAAAATATGTATTTTGATTCTGAGTCTCTGTACTTCAACCTGCTCATTTATAAAAGTCAAGGGCTCCCACTAAACTATAGCTGCTTGGTTTGTTAGAGACTCTCCAAACACTAAGATACCGATGATAAAAGACAAGGGCATGGGAAGCCCTGGGGCTGAGTATTCATGTTATACAATCAAAATCTAAAATCTTCTTTAAATGTTTAAGTCATTTAACCCAAAATCTAGTTATCCACTCAGAAAAGATAGACAGCAATACCACCACCATGCACCATACTAAAACATTGTAATTTCATAGAGGTGCAGAGTGAATAACTTCATGTCATCTTCTAAGGAATGAGTTTATTTTCAAAGTGGGACAAGCCTATACTTCAGTGAGGCCAACTAATTGCCTCACTCTCCACAGATAAGGAAGACCAACCGCAGACAAGGAAAACTGGGAGGAAGGGGAGGAGGACGGGTTTGTCATGATGAATACCTTATTCCAAAGCAAGGAAAACAAAACAAAACACTGGAGCATTCTGAGGACAGTTTCTTGGTAGGAAGAAGGCATCTTTTTAGGATGGCTTTCAACAGAGGTGAATGCTAGCCTTGGAGAGTAAACCCTGCTGCTTCCATCTCCTGGGAAAGGGGAGCACTCTGCTATTTGGGAGGCAGGATTTAAAGGAGCAGAAGACACAAGAAGAGCACTGGGAGCAAGACTCAGACATGGGGAAGTTTAGCCTGGCAGGAATGCACAGCCCTGGCCATCAGACTCCTGTGGCAGCACACGTTATCATCCACCATGTTCTCCAGCCACTCAGCCAGTGCCTCTGCTGATTACACCTCTCAGAGCTCTCAGTACAATAGCAGCTCTTAAATGTTTTTCCTAAAGGGGCATATTCCTTTACTCACATTTCATTGGCCAATGCAAGACCTTACTTAACTTGGGGTTAAATGAAGGTACCCACCTTGCCCTAGGTGCAATTTATGGATATTACAAAATGCAATCTCCTGCCCATGGACATTTTGATGGTTAACATTTTTCTTTCCTTGCCCTTATAAAGAACAGTGTCTTCTAAGTTTCTGAGTATCAGGGTTTTTTTTTGTTTGTTTGTTTGTTAAGGAAATATGTAAATGTGCATACACACATGTGCAGTCATATATGAAACAGAGTTACACTTGGGTGTATGGTAAGATATGGTACTGTGGATGTATGCCCTTCAGCTTCCACAGATCCTACCAAATTATATACCAAATTACTTGTAACGTTTACACTCTCCACTCACTCACTGCTCCATGTCCTCAGCCACTCTGGGAAGTCAAACAGGCAGGGGGTGATTGGTCTATCAGTAAGGTTTTTGCCTCTCACCTTTGTCAAATGAACTTTATTTTCCTTTTTTTCCCCTCTACAAAATCCCCCTCAATCTTTATTCTGTGAATTGCTCATTTTTATCTTTTTTTTTTCCTTTTCCTATTACACCTTTCTTTCTGTTTTCATCTGTTCCTATACACATCTGCCCACTTCAGTAGGGTTTTCACAGAACAACACTTAAATCTGTTCTCTGTTTCTGGCTTCACCGAGCTCTTCTCTCTATTATTTCCTCCCTTCTGTTCTGCTATTGGGTTATTAAAGATGGATTCAAAAGTTTGGTGATGTTCTATTTCCTGGTGAGTATTCTCATCCTTACAATCTTCAAACCTTACATGTATAGTGCTCATGGGATTTTTCTACACAAGAATATTTTAATTTTTTTCATGCACTTTTAACACCATTTATAAAAATCAGAAAGATGGTGAGTTTCTGCTCCCCCTATCCTCAAACCAATGATCAGCCATGGACACCAGGGACTGTTACAGGCTATATATAGGTTAACTTGGCTTTGTGTTCGATGGGAAGCCAGACCAGGACAGACATTCACAGTTAGGTCTTAGAGAAGACATGCACACACTCCAAGGTACACACACAGACCCATTACACCAGTGTCATCTAATCGTTCCCATGTTTCTTTTCAAGGGAGACCTTTTTTAGAACTTTAATAGCTACTTGGTGGCCAACATCCCAACCTCTGAGAGCACAACATCAAAACACTGCCACCTCTTAACTTTCATTCCTACTTTTTGGTTTAGATCAGTACAATAGAGCAAACGATGCCAGGACATGGAACAGGGAGGGCAAGATGTGTGTCCAGAAGCCATGGGTGATGGCCTGCTATAAACTACTATCAAGTGTGATAATCACTCCAGCCATGTCCCAGTCATAATATCTAAGCCAGTATGTAGATCGGCCAAAGTGACCTGAGTTTCCTAAGGGCAGGAGCAGTTTTTTTCCCACTGCTGTGTGAGGCTGTGGCACTCATTTCCCCTTGTTAGCAAACTTCTTCTCCAAAACAACTAAGATCTGAAGTTACAGATGGAAATGGACAAACACTACTTTTTTTTGGGTGTGGGGGAGAATCTCCTTAGGAAAGTGAGGCATGATCAGTCTCTGGGTGCTGACCTTGACAGAGAAGGGCCAGTGCTTATCAGGAGAGCACATGGCCCTTCTGCCCTGGGAAATCCCTTCATCAAAATCTGATCCATGAACAGAAATGCTGGCTACCCATGGTAGGGTAAAGTACTTTGGGTAAGAAACCATTCTGGAGTGAAAAAATGAAGGGAGGGATATAGATTACATTGTGGCTAAAATTTTTTTAAATCTTTTTTATTTTTATTGTTTTAAATTTTTTCATACACTATATTTTAATCATATTCTTTATCCTCTCCCAGGTTAATCATATTATAGGAGCTGTGACAACAGAGGTTTGTCCTGAATGTTGCTACTAAACTATACCCACTAGAGGCAATTTCCTTCATTTCAGCAGGAAATACTAATTCTTCTCCTAGAGAAGCAAGCCTCAGCTTGCCTCCCTGGCCTGCCTAATATGGCCCTTTGGGAAGAATGAGACAGCGCCCCTATCTGGCTACAGCACATGGACAGTGCACAGCTGCTCTCCCTAGAGAAATGGGCCACTCCCCATTTAGAACATTCATTACTGTCTTTCATATGAGCCTGATAAATTTATTAGAAACACCATCTGGTTGGGACTCAGCTTTGTGCTATATTTCCAGTCTTCTAGTCTCTTGCCTGATCCCACTGGAATTTCTGCCCCAATTTGTGTCACTTTGTTTACAAACCCATGCTGCCAGAACCAAGCATCTTGTGCCTGTCTCTTCCTGGGTTTCTGCTGCTATCCTCAGCCCCACCCTCAGCTCCATTCCTATTACAACAGCCAGTGCTAGGAGCAGGAGACAGCGGAACTGCTTGGGCAGAAATTACTTTTCCCCTCCATGCACAGTGCAACTCTGCTCAGACAAATTTAATTTGCTGCTTCTGAATGCAAAAGGTGCATGTTAACGAAGTGTACACATTCTGCAAGTGTATGAAGAACGGAGTGCCTGGGCTGGGGTAGTGGCAGAAAAAGCCATCTGAGAACACTTCATAGTTCCCCACTCTTACGTAGTGCCAGGGGTGACCAGCAGCCTGCCAGTGAATTTAATTTAGGAGTGATAAATTCTTTAAAAGGCAGTGTTAGTTCACTAGGACATGACTTGAGGGACACTCATACCAGCTATATTTAAAGATAAGAATGACAACCTGCTATTTGCCTGTCTCCAGAGATCATCTCCAGACATGGGAGAAAAGCTTTACTTTTTATTTTTTTAAATAAAAAAGGGGGCTTTAAAAAACATGCTTTATGTATATTGAGGATTTTGTTTGCATATACATCTGCACACCAGAAGAGGCCATCAGATCCCATTACAGACTGTTGTGAGCCTCCATGTGGGTGCTGAGAATTGAACTCAGGACCTCTGGAAGAGCAGCCAGGGCTCTTAACTGATGAGGTATCTCTCCAGCCCTGAGAAAAGCCTTCTTGAAGCAGACTCCTCCCCTCCCCCCCCCAATGAAACAACACTTGGCTCTTACAGTAGACCTTAGACCCTGTGCTTGCAGCAGCTTTATCCACTGTCTTCCTGGCTGCTGGATACAAAGTTACTTGCTAACAGCAGGCCCCCCCATCCCCGCAAAAAAAATAAATGCTTAATAGACTCATGACACATTTTTCTTGAAAGATTTTCTAAGTCGAGTGCCAAGATTTAGACACAAAGTATTTCCTGATTAAAAAGACAAGGAAGACGAGGAAGATTGTTTTTACCTTAAGGGCCTACCTATCCATCTCTCCATCTCACTGATTTCTAAGGAGACTAATAACCCCAGGGCCCATCCCCAGGCCTGAACAGAACTTGCTGATTAGACAAACTTCCAAGCCAACTGGAACCCAACCTTCTGCCGCATTCTTCTACAGGAAAAAGTATCCACAGCTGCTTTGTCAGAACAGCTGTAAATGAACAATAGCTAATTAGAGAACAAGG